TTTTTTGGTACGCCAACGTTTGATCACAGTTAAAATACTAGACCAATAAGATCCTGAACAAATCTCTGAAAAAAAGTTTTTCAAAAATGACTAAAAATACACTCATTTGCCTTAAAATACTTAGCTATGTCCATTTTTGTGGTTAAAATTCAGAAAAAAATATACTTTTTTGGTACGCCAACGTTTGATCACAGTTAAAATACTAGACCAATAAGATCCTGAACAAATCTCCGAAAAGAAAACTTTCTCAAAAATGACTAAAAATACACTAATTTGCCTTGAAATACTTAGCTATGTCCATTAAATTAAATTAGTATAACAAGAATAAATAAGTATAACAAGCATAACAAAACCAAATACTAATATTCAGCAATGCCTTTAAATCACGACATTCAGTCAGTCTTCAACAAGCCGTTTCTGTTTTGACACAATTTTATTGCCTCTATACCAGTTAAGGTCGGTGTGTTTATGTCATACATTTCACAACAGAACCATTACTTGAACAAATCAGTGTTTTCGGGCTATAATTAGCATTTTACAAATTCAGATTTGAGTTTCTGAATGCATGACTGTGTCACCTAAATGAATGTACTGTAACACGATTACAACTAATCAGATTTGGATTTTTTTTCCCACTTCACGGACATCACTTCACAAGACGAGAGCTTTGACATTTTCCCGGTTTCCCTGGGGAGCAGCCGTGTCTCTGGCTCTACGTCAGACTCATGCAACCTCAACTGCAACTGAACTAAAAGGGTCTCTGACTGGACACTGCACCCTTCAACGCCATAACCATATAAATATATAACCAATGGTCAGTACTAAAATAGAATCGACATGAAAACCACTGAACACACCTGTATACAGTACAACACATAAATCACATTGTTTCTTTTTAGCAACGTACACGCCACAAACACATCGTCAGAACTCCGAATATTTAAAATAAGTTAGCTTAAAGATGGAAGGCGACTCGAAGGCATACACGAGTGTAAATGATTATATAATCATTAAAAAAAAAAACACTGGTAGTTAAAAAGCAGCATTAAACCAAGTCAAGTTTCTTCTTAATATTTTAAAATCTTACCAGACTGTTGCGTTCGTTGGCACGTGTATTTACATATCGCTTTCGATGTCCTCTGGCATTCTGACATTGGGGCAATCAACGTCTTCGCTGCAATGAAGGTGGAGCAGTGTTTCCCGATCTGGCAAAAGAAACAGGCAACTAGAAAAACTACTGTTTCAGTTATTTACCTTTATGTCAAAACACGTCAAAATCGCCCTCATTAAAAATTTCAACTAAATTCAAAGTAATTACATTAACAAACCGCCCCGTTGGCTTTCTGACACAGCTACAGTAAATATATACTATATTTTGCAGACATTTAGTCGTGCTTCTTTTTAGTACTTCGACTGTTCCTACGTCCCGCCATATCATTTACGGCCACAAGAGGGCAACACATACACTAATGTCAACTTAACAACAATACCATTGTCCATAAACACGTCTATAAAAAAACACAAAATAAAATTAGGCCAAAAAGTCACGCAGATGAATTTAAACTGCAGATTATAAATTGTAAATATCAGGAACATAAATACTACCGTGTCCCTGCTGCTATATTTTAATTAGGGATGTCCAATTATATCGACCAACCAATATGGTTCAGCCAATGATTAAAATCTAAATTATTCTGTACTATTTTGTGAGCTTGTTACAGAAAGCTTTAAAAACAGCAGCAACATAAAGTTAAAAGTTGAGCTGAAACGAAGTAGTGACGCAGCAGCAAGTGGTTGAGCTTGGGCTGCCCTCTAGTGTTGGTCTCCATTTGGTTTTCATGCACAGCCTCAGTGTCAGTGGTTACAGGTAGGGGTACTGGTTAAGTTTTCTTTGATAAGCAGCAGTGGAATGATGGAAAGGCTGCTCAGCTAACTGCTGCTGCGGCTGCTGCTGCTGCAGCTGCTGCTGAGGGTGGAGATGGTTGGTATACTGACCGGGAGCTGACCCTCCCAGGGCTAAGCTGCTGTTCTTTTGCAGCAGTGCCAGTGAGGAGTAGGCCCCACTCGCTCTGCTGTGGCGTGACGGGCCACCGTGCATTTGGTCTACTTTTGATAAGGAGCGGGGGAATGAGGGAAAGGCGGCCCAGCGAACTGCGGCGGCGGCTGCTGCTGCTGCAGCTGCTGCTGAGGGTGGAGATGGTTGGTATACTGACCGGGAGCTGACCCTCCCAGGGCTAAGCTGCTGTTCTTTTGCAGCAGTGCCAGTGAGGAGTAGGCCCCACTCGCTCTGCTGTGGCGTGACGGGCCACCGTGCATTTGGTCTACGGCTTGAGACACGGAGGCCAGAGCGGCAGAGGCCGGGTAGACATACAGGTTGGGGGTGGAGGTGAAAAGAGGGTTCTCGTGGGGTCGGTAGGATGATGTGGAGGAGACGGTCGGGGGGTAAGTAGGCTGTCGCCTCAGGGAGCTGATGGTTCCTGGCTGCTCATTGGTGGATGACATCACAGGCTGCTGCACCTGAGAGGAATCAGGGCACGGTGAGCTACAAGACTCCTAGAGTTACTTTGACTTTTCACAACAGTGCAGGAGACTGTACTGCATGGTAAACTTTTTTTACTGCAGTTCCCTCTCTGACCACTAAAGCTCAGTTACCCTCAGTCCAGCACCACCGTCATAATATTAATACAGACTCCTTCAGAGCAGCAGTAAGGTTACTGCATTTAAGTGATACTTTAGACTCAAAGTACAAGATTTAACAATTAATATGTGAAACAGGAAGCTGTTTAATTTGCAGTACAGAAGTACACAGTGGGAGTCACAGGACATAGGAGACACATCACACATGATAGTTGTTGTTACCTGGCTCAGGTTCAGAGGCTGAGATCTGCCGGCCACGGCCTGCTGATGGCGCTCAGTCCCAGACTCTCCTGCTCGACTGGAACCTTTCTTGGACTTTCCATTTTTAGCTTGATCTGCCAGTGAAACCACAGTGAATGTTCAGGGGACTATTAACTATCTGACTGAGCTGATAACAATGACAAAGGAAAACAGTGGTTTTCAAAGTGAGGGGCGCTAAGGTTAAATACTGTAAAACATATTTATTTTAGCAATATTTTAGGCACATAAATAATAAACAAATCATTTCTTTAAAGAGCTTTATTTCTTTCTTATTATACATATTTTTATTATTTATATTTTTTATTTTAGGCACATAAATAATAAACAAACCATTTCTTTAAAGAGCTTTCAGCGATGACCTCTTTCATCTGAAAGTCTTTATTTCATTATTAAATGTTTAAATTAATTTTAACATTTTTTAGATGTTTTTTATATTTTTATTATTATGTATTAAATATATTTATTACTATTATTTATATTGCCTTTTCAAGTATTTTTTATCATCTTTATATATATATTTTTACTGTTTTCTTCTTTTGTCTCATTTTTTGGTAGTTTTGTTTCTATTTTGTTCTGCCCTGAGTTCAGACTGACAGGAATATTAAAGAGTGTGGAGAGACTTCTGTGTAAGAGGACCTGTACCTGCTGGAGCTTTTTGGTTTGTGCTTTCTCCAGGCTGACTCTTCACAGACGGCAGAATAACAGCCAGAGCCTTAGCTGGCTGTGAGGTGGTCTTTGGGCTGAGGGGGCTGCTGGTGGACGAGTCCGAGTCATGAGAGTCATGGACGGTGACACAGCTGATCACATTGGTCCTCTGACCTGTGCCAGAGCTGTTGAAAGAAAACCAATAAATAACCGTTGGTGTCATTTTACTGAAATGTCCAAGAGGGAAAATCTCACCACGAGGCAGGGAATTTCCTCTCGTCCTCATCCTCGGAGTCACTGTGGATGGTGATGATGCTGACGGCAGGACTGGGCGTGTCAGAGATGACGATGGGCTGAGACTGGTCACCAGCGAAAGAAGACGTGTTGTGCACAACTGATGTGACTGACGACACCGGTCTGACGGGAAAACAAAGGGTTTTTTCGTTCATTTTGTGATGTTTGCAAGGACCAGCAATATAAATAGACATCTGATTTGGATGAACAGGATGAACAAAACCTGTATCCTGTCGCCATGACAACAGGACTAAATACCTGGCTCTGTTCTCTCCATGTCGAGGCTTGGACCTCTTTTCCTGTTGGCCTCTCGTGTGAGCGCCCCCTGAGTTGTGATTCTGGGACGCAGCATGACGGCCAACACCTGAGTCCTGCTGGCCGACACCGTCGTACTGGCTGCCATGGCGACCCCTGTTGGGCGATTGAAGGAAAGTTTAAAACTCCCAGTAAGTCACATGACTTTCAATTCTTTTTCACTATTGCATTTCGATTATTTTTTAATTCCATGTGCAATATATATGTACATTTACACCACAGTTGACACCCACAGTGTCTGGATCAGAGTTACCTCCAGCCAGACGCCTGTTGACTCTCAGATGCTCCCACAGGTGAGTCGGGCACTACGGTCTGCCCAGGGTTGTGGATGGTCATCCCTGGCATCTGCTGCCAAGTGGAGGGGATGAGGATCTGTTGTGTACCTGCCGGCCAGCCCTGCTGTTTACACACAAAAACACACATATACTATATATGAAGGTAGAACACAGCGTCCCAAATGATGAGGAAATGAATACAGTACAGTGTGTGTGTGTAAAAAAGGCAGGATTAAATTAGCAGAGACACACAGTCTTAGAGGGAACCTTTGTTTTTTACTAAGACACAAAGTAAATGTCACTACTAAAGCAAACGGAAAGCAGCTCCAACATCAGCTGACATGGGAGGGAGAGAGAGAGAGAGAGAAACCTTTACTGTCCCTCTAATCTGATTATCGTTTTCATTTCTGCCTCTAGCTCATCCTTCTGTCCAAATATCATGGCACATCTCAGAATGTGTTTCAGTAAATCAAAACAGAACAGTCAGTGATGCTAAAAGAGATGCTAGTCTCATCGTTTTATTATAAATCTAGTCCAGGGTATTGGTTTGGAGTAATGGTCATTGTGTAGTTTATATTTCAACTGAAGTATTACAGCCATGTAAGGGGGATCTACCTGAGCCAACATGCCAGGCTGGATGTGAAGAGACTGGGACGACTGGTTCTGAGGGACTAAGGGCACAGAGTTGTCCATCCTCACTTGATAAGCCGAGGGTTTGTTGGATGACTGGAGACCTGGAAGAAGACGATAAAACGTGTGAAGATAAAAAACAGTCTGCTGCAACCACGCATCATCACCCAAGAACTCCATCACTGCATCAGTTCTTCTGTACCCTGGATGGTGGGAGGACACACTATGAGTGTCTGCTGGAAGGGTTCAGTCTGGGCACAGAGCTGAGTGGGTCGAGTCTGCAGAGGAACACCCTGCTGGGTCAGGCCGGGGATGTTTATGGTGGCCTGTTGGTAGAGGCTGGGCTGGTAGTTCAGCAGAGGGACATTACTGCTGAGGGACAGGGACTGGCCTCCGGTCGAAGACATCTGGAAGACACAGTATGCAAAATAAAAATATAAATATATATACATATATACATATACACATATGTATGTATATGTATATATGTATATACAGTATATGTATGTATACATATACACATACATACATACACATACATATATACAGATATGCATATATATACACATACATATATAGATATATAAATATATACATATACACACATATATACATATATACACATACACATATATATATATAACAACGCCCTCACCTGATTGTGCTGGTTTAACTGGCTACTGAAGGTGACGGTAAGGTTGGCGGCTGCACTCGGAGTATTGTTGTTGGCAAACAGATTCTTTCCATTTTCGAAAGCGCTGCATCTGCGTTTGCAGATGTCCATATTCTGGAAGCAGGACTTTACACTAAAAGTAAAAAAAAAGGTAAAAAAAAACCAAAAACCATGAATTAAAAACTACTAAGACACTAAATGAAAAGCATTGTCTGCTGAAAAATTAGTGCAGTCTTACTGTGAGCTGTGAGGGAAGTGCAGCAGGTGGGTCATGGTGACAAAAGGGTGGTTCAGGGTCTTCATGGGAGTGATGCGTTTGTCGGCGTCAAGAGTCAGCATCTTCTTCAACAGGTCGATGAACTCACGCCGGTCAGCCTTCTCTGCCAAAATGTCTGTTCCCTCCAGGTTAGTCATGTTCACCTGCAGGGGGAGCAGAGGGGAGCAAATAAAGGAAATCTTTTGTTTGTGTTACTTTCTACTGAGTCTCTTCTCTCAGGTCACGTCTGTGAACGGATTAAATATTAACTGAAACCTGTGTGCCTCCAGGAAAACAGAGTGAAAGCCCTGCTCACCTGCATCATGTCATCCAGACAGTTGAAAATATATTTCCGTGCTTCCTTCGACTTGATTCCCATCTCTGCCTCATGCTCTGCAGGAGTCTGAAAAATATATACAGTCCATGCTGTAGTGTAGTGGTCTTAAGGTTTTATCAAGCCGAGACCCTCTGACAGACAGAGCACGGACTTCCTCCTACGGGGGGGTCCTCAGTTTTATGCAGATTTATGGTCACTACTTTTATTTACTCCGAGAAACAGAACCACATGATTGATTGTGATCAAACATCAAACACTCAATACCCAATAATAACAGTAGTAATAATAATAATTTCAAACCCCTCATCCAGTACCACCCATTACCTGTAGGTGTCCTGGACCTCCTGTTAAAATCCCTTGCTGTGTTACACTGTATTTGGAGCCGTCTACATGCTGACAGCAGCCTGTCTCCCAGAGACACTATTGTACTGACTGTATTGTATTGACTGTACCTTCAGTCTCCACAGTGGGTAGCTGGAGTCGGGGCCTCTGTTGAAAAAGCGGCAGGTCTTTGTTCCTGCACTGAGCAGGTACTCTGCTGGAAGACCCTGGGTCTGAGAGATGTAACGAATCTGGAGGAGAAAGAAAATACACACAGAACAATCAGTGCCGGGTGTAGACAGAGCGTTAACACAGTGACAAACTGTGGACCTTTAAAAAAAAAAAATGACACCCTGTTTATGCTGTGACTCAGCTGCAAACAGCAGTTACCAGTGTCAGCAGCCTGTTTCACAGCTTGTCCTCATTACTGTAACTGATGATGTGTTAAAAGCCCGTTTTGCATCACAGACCAGTTTCATGGAAGACAATATTTTCACAGGCTGGTCTTCAAAATGTGACAAAAAAAAATCACTGCTTTAATGTTGTTTTAACAACACTGACTGGTGTATCTGAGGATCAGTTTAGTATGGAATTTTTAAGAAAAATCAAATTTAAATTTAAGCTGTCAACAGATAAAGACACATAACATTATTACATTATTCATATATCCACAACACTGTCTTCAAGATGAATCACCTGATCATACTCTGAAGCACCAGGATACAGAGGCCATCCCAAAAACAGCTCAGCGATGACACATCCCAGAGACCACATGTCGATGGCCTCACAGAAAGGAAGGCCCAGAATTATCTCTGGAGCTCTGCAAAGACGTCAAGTACGCCAAAAATCACAAAGAAGCATTTTGAGAGCTTACAAAGACAAGTGAATGAAGGACACTCACCTGTAGTACCGTGACTGCAGATAGGTGGAGCACACAGCTTTGGACACATGACTGGCAGAGCCAAAATCGATGACCTTCACTCTGTACGGCTGCCTCAGGGGATCGACCAGCATGATGTTCTCTGGCTTCAGGTCGGCGTGGATTAGTCCGAGACTCTTCAGCTTCATCAGCGCCGTGGCGACCTGCTGCAGGATCGGTCGGATGCACTTGAGCATCAGCGGGCTGAACTTGCTGTGCTTCAGGAAGTCGTAGAGATTCTGCTCCAGCATCTCAAACACAAGGCACGTGTGGTTCTTGTGCTGAAAGCACTCGTACGAGCGGACGAAGTTGAACTCGTCTGCGTTCTCTGTGCTCAGCCTGCTGAGGATGCTGACCTTCAGGGAGGAAGAAGAGGAGGTTGTTTTCTCTTTAACTGACTTCAGGTCACTGTCTTTGTAACCGCACTTTTAGAAAATTCATGAAATCGAATCTAGTCTCAGAAATCCAAACTACTTAAATACTGTTAGTTTATACCAGGTGTTTCCAATTAAATTTGTCAAATTTGAGTTTTGTTTAACATTATTAATACCTCAATAGATTATTTGCACAAAATACTTGGTTCAACATAGACACCATTGTTGTAATTGTCATATATGTACATAAATGTAGCAAGACTGTAAATGTTCTACAGCCCCCTGCAAACTTTGTTTATCTTTCACTCATTAATTTGCTCAAAATATTATTGCAAGTGTAATGAAAAATGAGCCAGCATCTACAAGAAACCAAATTTAGTATATTTAGTAAACCTCTCAGTTTTCATCAACATAAAACAGATATTTTCACGTTTGTATGAACTTGCTTGGACTTGAATCTTTTTTCTAAACTTATGTGAGAATCTTCTGCTCAAGGCTAAACTGTTGCTGTAGCTTCAAGTTTTTCAGTTTGTACTCACTTCTATTTGCCCTTGTCGAGCGTAGGATGGATGATTCTTCAGGATCTTGATGGCCACTATCTCATTTGTGCCTCGCTTCCAGCATTTTGCCACCTGACCAAAGGTACCGCGACCCAGAAACTCCAGCACCTCGTAGCTGTTGGACATGGAGCACAGGATCTCGTGCTGCACCAGCTGGTAGTCGCCCTCACTGTGGGAGTTGCTGCTCTTGGTAGTGGAGGTGGAATGTGCTATGGACTGAGCTGTGGTCCCGCCTCCTCCAGCAGTACGGTTGGAGACCACGGGGGCGGAGAGCTCCTCCAGGATCTGGACGCTATCGCTGCTGTCAACCTCCTCGCTTTTCCGTTTCAGGCTGTACTGCTTTTGGTAGAGGTCGCAGGGCTGCGATGTGGACTCGGCATCTTTGACACGTCGGGTGGAGGAGGTGGAAGAGGCCGAGGACGGTGGTCCATGTAGGCTGCCTGTGCTGTCCGCTGCCCGCACCACCGTCTGCTCCCGGGAGCCCGCTGTCAGCGGATGAACCTGGTTGCTGTTGTACACTGGGTTAAAGTTGGAGCCGGAGGTGGTGGGTGCAGCTGCCTGGCTGGGGCTCTGCTGGTAGTAACCATTATCTCCCAGCTGGTTGGACACATCCCAGGCAGGGTTCTCCACTTTGAGCCTCTTGGAGCGAGAGTAGCCGCTAGAGGACACGGACGGGGAAGAAAAAACCTGGAGCTGGGACGCCATGTCTGTAGACAAGATCAACAATGAAGAGGAAGTTTGTCCTCAACTTTTCCTCTGTGGCATTGTCAGATTAAAACGTGTTAAAGGCTGACCCAATTAACAAATGGACCAACTATTTATAGACATTTTGTCACATTTGACTACGTTTCATGCCAGAGACAAATGGCTGCAAATTTAGCTCAGTGAGCCACATACTGTTTGTTTATCAGTTTATCCTAAAGTCACAGATATTATGGTCTATAATCAATTTACGATCATATATGAAGCTATCTACTTAGCAGATTTCCTGGATATGGTTCAGTGTTGAGCTTATGCCCTAACTTTTAAATAATGTGGTTAATGGCTGATGTAATAACTATCTATTACATATTAGCTTTAGTGAGCTAACTTCCAAATAATAGCTGGTCTATTAGAGCTAAAACATTTAAAACAATTTATTAGGTCAAGCTTTGAGTAAAGTTTTTGTAAACTAGCTTTTGATTGTCTTTCAGCCATTTTTTTTATCAATTTTGCTTCTTTAATTTACCTACTAGTTTATCAAGCTGATTTAGTAAAACTTTTAAATATTAAGCATCTCAGCTATTCATGCTGCATTCCTGACAATAGTAAAACTTTTAAATATTAAGCATCTTTATTTAACAACAGCTAGCTATTCATGCTGCGTTTTTCTCCCATATCATGCTAACTTTCCTCTATCTGACTGATTTAACCTGTTGTTCCTATATTTTTACATATAAACTGGTTAAATGATGATTTAGGATTATCATTTGACTAGTTTTAGTTTTTCAGAACCAGACATTGGCTTTAAACACGCTTAAATTTACACGTTACATTTAGTGTAAGAAAAACATTTACACTAATTTACAGTATTAGCCATCACGGGGCCCTAGCCCGAGTTGGGTCGTTTCCTACGCCCCTGCTTAAGCATTCAGAGAACTGTGTTCGCCGCTATTTAACCACCGTCTACGTGACAGTTGTGAAGATTTAGTCTTTTTTTACGACTGTACCTGTGTTAGACGCAGGAACACCTAGCCGTTGAGCTGACATTAAGGCCTCGTCCTCCTCGTAATCGTCACATCATCTCCGGGCAGGTCTGCGGCGGATCACCTGAGCTTCGCTCTGGGGGAGCTCCGGGAGGATAACACGGGGCCGACCAAGCTAACAGCTAGCCTAGCAGGTCACAGTCTTCGGCGTCACATCATAGCTGGCGTTCCCCTACAGTCACAGTGTATATGTATGAAGCAGCAGGACGATAATGTCTCTGTTAGTCTGTAGTATCATCATAACGAACGCAGTGGTGCAGACAGGGAGCCTACCACCAGCTCAGACTCCCGTCTTCTCCCATCCGCACTTCCTGTCGTGATGACGTCACTTACAGTTGACGTAAATTGACGTCAAAGACCGCGTCCCATACTATTATGTTATGGTAAATAAAAAACATAAACATAGATAGATAGATTTGACTGTTCGTCCTTAATGTAAATTAGTGTGGGTTTTTATTCAGAAATGATACATTTTTATTTAATATAATTTATCATCTCTCTTGAAAATATGCTTTTTTGTTTCTGTAAAAATATTATTAAAGTATTATTTCTCCAACCTAATGACCTAATGTAAACGAACAGAAATATTCTGTTCTAACTACGTCGAGATATTAGTCAATAATTACACATCTCAACACTAGAGGGCACTAGTGACTACGTTTAAGACCCTATACAATGTTTAAACAGAAATATTTTAATGCACATTCAGCATGTAAACACAGACACTGTTCATTCGGTCCAGCTCCACATCAGGTTTCCTGTCCTTTCAGATATATTAACATTTTTGCTTGTACAGCATTTACACAGTCACAGCGATGGTGCTGCCATTTTACATTAAAAAAACAACAGGACTACGAAAGAGAAGACGCCAGCATAGTCCAATCACAACAAAGGAAGAAAAATAACAACGTGTCGATTGTTCTGAATACTAACGATAATAATGATCTATTTGATCTGTTTCCATGCAGCTGCTGAGTTCAGAAGTAATGGAGTACAATGGGAGTAAAATGCATGCAATATACAGTATACTGTGTATAGAGAATATTGAGGGAATTCCTTCAGTGGTCAAAGAATGAAAGACGGTAGAAGCAGAGAAAAAGAAACAAGTGCTTGACATTATAACAAAAAGAAAATCTAAAAACGTATAAACCTATATATTTTTTTATATAAAGAGAAATGACCAGCAAATCCCTACATGTAGAATAAAAAATGAAATACAAGTCTGATTTGAGAACAGCACACGTAAATTCAGCTTACAATACAATAAAATACTCAACGATGGCTAACAACAGCATCACTGAAACGCCTTCAATCTTGTCATTTTTCTTTTCTTTTCTTTTAAAGCATGCCGTGTACATTAGTGGATGATATTTGTATTATCAGTATTCTACATTTACATCACATATGATGACTACTGCTGTGAATAGTGGCAGGAAGATTGCACTCCTTAAGGCCGTGATGTCGTCCGTCGGCCGACTACCTGAAGGAGTGCCGGAAGTGAACGCTTCTTCGTTTCAACTTTTCCGGGTTGTGGGAGGCCATGTGGGAAAATTCTCGAAAGATGTCCAAGTAGGTGGCGTCACCTGGTGAGAGAGAAAAAAAGTTGTTTAAAAATGATTCGAATCAAAATTATGGTTTGGCTTTTAGATATTGACCCTCTAGCCCTGTAGGTGGCGGTAAGGCCCACTGTATTAAATTAAATATTTCTCGATTCAATATATTATTGTATAGCATCCTTATCTCCAAGTTGATGAGAAAAAGTGTATTTTTATGAGAATGAAATCCTAAAAAGCCATTAAATAAGTGAATAAAGTTACATTTTTGAGACCCCTGCTTTGCATTAAAACAGAATCAATAGTTTCATAAACTATGGGGCTGGACAAGAAGACTTGGTCACATGATCGGTTCATTTAAAAACCACTGCCCTACAAAGAGGCTTTGATGAGTTGGGAATCTTTGATATGAATGTTAGAAATACATGCGACAGAAAGAAGCAAAGAGGGAGAAAATCCTGATGAATAGAGAAGCAGAAGCCGACAGAGGAGCCATGAAACTTCCTTCTTTCAACTTGTCAGATACTGAGGCTTTACTCCCGCTGCAGCCATGGTAACGGCCCGGTCTACAGACATAACAAAAGCAGTTCAACTCTTTTGTGTCCCAGGAGAGCTCCCAGACTCGGCTAATTAAAAAGAGGAATGAACATTCCTGGGTGTGGGAAAGAAGCATTCACCTAAATATATACGCTGCATTTTAGTCCAGGTTGTTTTTTAACAGCAGTAAAACAGGCAAAATATTAGTGTTTAAAATGCAGTAATTTAAACTTTTCATCATTGCTCTCTACTTTGGCTAACTTCTATAAATTTGAGGTGACCAATAAATATTCCAGTATGACTGTTAAATCCATAGATGGTTAGCATAAGTTAAATACAAGTGAAACATGGTTAAATATATTGTACATTTCAAATTAATCATTAGAAAATTTGAAAAATCTCACACACGCATATGTAATATTTTATAAAAAATATTTTAGTATGTGAAATATTACATCAAAAGTAGTAGCAGTCAGTGATGATAGAGGTTTTAGTTGATTTCAGTCAGAATAACATCAATTATTTTTAAAAGAAGGTGAGAATCAGTGAGGCAAAGAAGCAGGAAGAAAGGTTAGCGTTTGGTAATAGTGTCCATTTATTTTTGACATGACATTAAAGGACACTGGGTGAACATGTTAAACCAGAAATACTAAAGGACACTGGGTGAACATGTTAAACTAGAAACACAGACAGCAGTTAGTGTTAATACAAACAGACAGCAGTTAGTGTTAATACAACAAAAGTCATTAGTTACGGTTTTTTTTTTAGTAACAAGATTTGAAGAAAGTGTTAACAGTCAGAGACAGAGAAAAACAACAAACACAACAAGGTTAAAAAGTTGAGTTAGTTCATATACACAACAGTCAGATTGTTAAAGTGTCATACACTGCAGATATTTAAAAAAAAAATTAATGAAGTGATTTGTCAGCAGCTGGGATTGATCGTTAGTCTTGATTAACAAGATGATGATTGTTCGTTTAAAAATAGTAAGAATCGAGATACAACTGGATTTTAGATAAAGAGAAATTAAACAAACAAAGCAGCAAGAAAAGTTTTAATGGCAGGAAACTGGGCAACTTAGGGACTGTATGGAAATAATTTAAGAAGAAGAAGAAGAGAACAACTGATTATGTTTTAATTTTATTAAAGGAAACAGAGCCAGAGGTGAAGAATTGTGGAGCGGGATGATAAGCAATAGAAAAGGAGCAGATCAGACAGAAGTGACAGAGACAAAGTTAAAATGGTCTGGGCAAGAACTGGGGACAGACTTTTCTTCTATAATAATTTGAAGACAGTCCCTAAAGAATAAAAATTTACAATAAAGTATTCAGGAATTCTCCCTGGTCTTTGGCTTAAAATAAATTCTAAAAACCTCAGACATGAGACGAGTCAGATCTTTGATAAAATAAATTTAAAAAAACCCAAAAAACAGCTACCAACAGCACTTCAAACAACAGGCCATTTCAATTTATATTAGATTACTATTACATTGTACAAATACATTATATACAGTTAGACACACTAGTGGTGTTGATCAATATGTCCACTTACTACAGCAGAAACTGCAGTACTACTCTGAGTGGTTGTATTCTACACTACTGTGATGTACTGACTCTGTTTCTCAGAATGAGAATATAATACTGGTGAAGTAAGTGAGCGATCAGCAGAGTAAAGTTAAACACAAAAATATATATCCAGTCTAAAAAATATCAATATTTTTTTCCATTGTTGTTCAAACACAATACAAAAATACAGATTATCTGGGATCATCGGTGCGCTACTGCCTCTGAGGGACGGATAAAACACAGGCTGAAGAGGGCAACAAAAAAATACAAAAAAAAAAAAAAGGTAACTGTTTTGCAAAAAAAAAAATCACTGTAAATTTGACTTAAAAAGCAGTTTAACCAAGTCTCCAAATATAGAAACTGGTTATTTCCTCTCAGTCATAGTTATCACAGCCTGGTGGTCACACTGAGGAATTGTACCTATCATCAATCTGAACAAAAATTTTGGGCTTTCCACAACAGGTTTTGTTTGTTTTATTTTACCATAGTGGTTTACAAGTTTGCAAATCTAGTGCAAATCCCCGCAGCCCCTGTAGAGGGCAGTATACACCCTGGATAGTTCACCAGGCCATTATGTACATATCAAAAAAAACAACCATTCACACTCACATTCACACCTTTGGACCATTCAGAGTGAACAGTTAACCTCATCCTGCGTGTTTATGGACTGAAGAAAAATATACTTATATACTTTAAAAAACAAAAGAATCACTCAATTTGATGAATTTATAGATTAGGAATTATTTTAACATAATTCATCTGTTTTTATTAGATACAGCTAAAGTAAACCTTGAAGGTTTGGAACGTTGTGTGTTTAATATTAGCATATATGCTATTAGCAAAGCATATAACAACAGTTCCCCTCTTACTTCAATAAAATACTAAAGTGGTCCCAAAACTGGTGCTCTGCTACTGGTTGCTCATCAGTTTCATAACAGTGTCCTGGTCATGGCAGTGAACAGTTTTACTGGACAAAAAAATGGTTATGGTAACACTGTGTTTCTGTGATGCCGAGAGCAATCAGAGAAAATAAGAAAGTGCAGGAAAAAGAACAACAGCGAAGATCCAGGAATGTCTGAAGAGACGTTAGGAGTTAAAACTAAGAGACAGAAACAAGACAGAGGGAAGACTTGGAGTCGGCCTCACTCAGTCTGAGTTCTAACCTGACTGGACGGACTTCTAGCACTCTGCTATATTCAGACAGATAAACTCCTGAATACACTTCCTATACTGCTGCTCAGTGGGACTGCTGATTGGATATTGACCTGGTTGTCCAAAGGGTCCTTCTGACTCCCGCATCTCCTCGTTCATTCTGGCCAATCGTAGCCTGGAGAACGCAGAAGGAAAAAAAAAGGTTAAGATTCATCAGTGATGAAAAAAAAAAAGGAAAACGCAGGAGTGATGAACTTCAAACCTACAGTGTGACTATATCCGCGTTAGCCTGCTGCACAGCTATGCTCAGAGGGTCCTGGCCGTCCTCGTCTTCATCGGTCTGCGTCGCTCCTCTCTTCAGGAATAAACACACCTGCCTGGAGACGCAGAGTGAACAGAGGTCTAGGCTTAGCAAGCTAAAAGGTGTAGCATACAGAGCTAATGGGTCATTTTTCAGAGAGAGCAGGCATGGGCAAACTAAGGCCCGGGGGCTGGACGTGACCCGGGCAGCTTTTTAATCTGGCCCCCCAAACCATTCCAAATTATATAATTTATTTATATTATCATTATATGTCTGGCTTTTCTAAACTTGCTAAAGGTTAACAAAGGAACAAGGAAAATCCAAATCATATTCAACGTGGAAAGAATGTGTGTGTGTATGTGTGTGTGTGTTGTCGACACATATTTCCATCATGTTGACTCACCCTGTGTGTCCCAGATAGGTGGCGTGGTGCAGAGGACACCTTCCTCTGGCGTCTCTTTGGTTGACGTCAGCAGCATTTTGGAGCAGGAACTCGCAGGCAATCAGTGAACCCTGAAATACAGACACAGCAGCAGACAGCTAAGGGTCAATAAAAAAACAAAAAAAAGTTCTGACTTCAAAGGTACCAGTGAGTTTTTTTCATCCTATGGCTGGGTTTTGCGACATATAGTTAGTTGCGACTTATATGTTAAAATATATCATTTCACATGTTCGTTATTTTCACACTAAACAGCCGCTAGAGGGCACTACTACGAATCGGTTTATAGTCCAGAAAAATCCGATTATTTCTGCTTCCTTGCGTCCCCTTCACTCACCCCAATCACAGCCTGGATCAGAGGCGTCTTGCCCTCGTCCTCAGCGTTCACCAAGTTGACGTCAGCACCGTGAGCCAGAGCTTCGGCCATGACGGGCAGGTTTCGGGCCTTTGAGGCTTTGTACAGCAGGTTTCCAGGATGGAGATCACGTACGTCCTCTGGGTCTGAAGCCTCGGGCTCTGCCTCCAGCTCGGCTTCTCCACTGGAGTCATCAGACGCTTCACACTCTGGGGGAAAAAAACCCACGGTGTTTATTAAGTTGTTTCCCAGACGACAGCAGTTCAGCCTTCAGTGTTAAAGGTTCCTCGACTGGACCTACCCTCCTCTGTGACGCTGTTCACCACCGAGCCAAACACCAGGATGTCTGTGCTGCCGTCTGTGCTGCCTCCCAGCCCACTGTCACTGCTGAGACCTGCAGGACCAGGAGAGAAACCACAACATTGTGTCACCATCTAGTCCTGATGCCAAGGGTTCTAAAATATACAGGTATCAGTAAAGGGTCTGTGAACGGTGTCTATGGAGGTTTCCTTACTTCTGGGTCCAGATCCTGTGTCAAAGTAGGAGAAGAGAGTGTCCAGTTCGTCTGGACAGAACAGGGACTCCCGTCTGAACTTAGCAGCTGCTGCAAATAAACATAGAAGCCACGTGAATAACACATGAAAATGCACCGTGTATCCAATAATTCCATTATTCATGAGATGGATCAGAATAAAATTGTATTTGTTTTCTCAAATCATTACCCGCAGACAGGGTCGACGGCGACGTGCTTCCAGCCTCCTGACGGTATCTCCTCCGTGTTTTGGACACAGTGGTGGCGCTGTTGTGTCTGCGACACTTCTTCACACTCCACCGGCGCTCTGGTTTGCTGTCCCCGTTGATGAAAATCTCTCTGCAGCTGAGCTTCTTCAGGAACTTCTTCTCCACATACTTTGCCCTGATCCAGGCCTCTTTCTCCTGCCTACAAGAACACAGATGAGAGATTTTAGAGAAACACGTGTAAACTCAGAAATTATATATTTTTTACAGGAAATTATATTACATTATATAATAGGAAATTTACCTTGAACTGGACGGTTGAGGTTTCTTCAGACCTTGTTCTTGGTAAGAGCCTTCATAGATGTGGTTGATGACGCTGTTTCCGAGTTCACACATCAGCTGTAGGGGAGGATAAGATAATGTATATATTAATACATTTAATATATATTATATATATATAATATATATTATATATAATATATACATATATGTATGTATAATATACATACACATACATACATATATAGTTATATATGTATATATTTACATATATATTTATATATGTAAATATATATAAAAGTGTGTATTTATATATGATTATGTGTATTAACTGCAAATATGAACACACAGTATACATACAAAATTTAAATATATAAACATATATAAACATAGAGTATATATTTACACACATAAATATATATATGGGAGAATTTAATTAATTAAATTTACCTTCAATAATTCTGGTTCCCATGAGTCTAGCGTGAGTGAGCGAACCTTGGAACAGTGAACACCGAGACTCCTGTAACAGAGAGCATGACAAATAAAATGATTAGAGATACATCTTCAGTTAACTGATACTACATGTAGGATCACTAGTAGAATATTGTAAATACTGACTAATGTTAGTTATTTCTGTTGCCTTCAGACTGTATTTTCACATATACCAGGAGTCCGGCTACTTTCAGACTTCTGAATAGTAGCAAATACCATTGCTGGGGAAAATTAGCGAAGCTGCATCTAATGTCATGCAAATCTCCAAGTTCCTACGATGATGCTGTCTGGTTACCTGGAGACCGTGTCGGAGTAGAGAAAAAAAACCAGACTGATAGTTTCTGCTCCTTGTTTACTCTTGGTATAATGAGGCCAAGAGAAGATGAGGCCAAAGACACAGCATGAATATTCAAAAGTTAGGAGGAGGAGTAGCTGCAGGGGATGTGGTTACATAAGTACTGATAATCCTCATTTAAATAATACACACAGTTCACGAAGGGCTGAGTGTGGGGATCAGGATAAAGAAGACATGACCGTGTGCAACCATGATTTAAACACACCGTCGATGTGAGGTTTACGGCAAAATTCACTCATATATGTTTGAAACAATGAAAAGGGAAATATTAAGATATTTCATAATAATAACAATAAACATATATGTACATAAGTACATACACATATATGTATATGTGCATATACATATATACATATAGACACATATACTGTATATATATATAAATATATACTGTATGAATATATATATTTATCATCCTCTACTCTATAAATATAACTTTCCTCGATAAATATAAATATATAGTTATATATTTATATATATATGTGTATATATATATTCATATATTTTTCTCTCTTGGAACTCTCTACCTGTGGATGCCTGAACACTCGATGCACAGCAGGATGCCCAGGTTGATGGAGGCCCAGCGTGGGTCGGCCTGGCCGCAGTCACAGCACTGCTCGTTCCCTGGGAGACTCTGAATCCTCTGCAGGATGGTCTCACTCCGGGCGCTGCGGTCCCGTGTCTCACTGGCTGAGTCAATACTACTGGTGGACGGTGACGCAGTTCTGTCCAGGTGCTGACAGAAAGTCAACAGGATACAATGTCAAATGTCAGAGTGTGAGACAGCACTTTGGTGGTAACAAAGCTGCCTCTGCAGCACAGCAAGAAAATGGGCTGCATTTGTTGGACGGACTTGTCCGGTGTGACCTTTACAGGATGACGTTCAACCTTCAGACGCAGCTTACAGTTTTGGTTGAAACTACAGGGTTGAAATACAGTGTTGTTCAAGTGGAGTCTGGGTCCAATACCTCTATGTAATAGGAGTCTGGACTCTCTCTGTAGGCTGAAGCAATGCTGGCTTGAACTGCCTGAATCCAAGCCTGTCTTAGCTTCTCCGATTCAGCCTGGAGCATACAACTCCTGCAGGACAAAAGTTTTTTAGCGTGCTGTTACCACGGAATACAAGCAACTCAGCCTGGAGCATACAACTCCTGCAGGACAAAAGACACAATTTTTTTAGCGTGCTGTTACCATTGAATACCAGCAACCAACATTTCCATCAGACTGTCGGACATAACGATGACAGTGAGAGGCGGGTCTTACTTCGATGGAGATACGACCTCGAAGCAGAACCGCCGCTCGATGTCCTCACAGGGTTTGACTGAGCAGAGCCGCAGGTCTTCTACCACCACTGTCAGAGAGTCCTGCAAACACAGAAAATGATAATTCATAATAAATCACAGTTATTAAAAGTAGAGGATGAAAGATTGAACGATTTCGTTAAATAAAAAGCATATTACGTAATATCTGTAAGAATTGTTTTGGGTTACCTCATATGATGTGTGCCCAAAAAATAGTTTTGGGGACAAACGGCTGTACATTGAAGTGAAAGTCACTAGGTGGCAGCACTGCAGCTCATTTGATTAATCTCATACTCATACAGTGGTTTGTACAGATAAATAAATACATATTACCAGGCCTATATCGGTATGTATCTGAAAATACACACTGACCTATATTTGTTTTTTTTTTGTTACGAGTCTCTGTAACGTAAATACTCTGCAGAGATCTCACCTTACCGACATAGAACCCTTCAGTACGTCAGTGACGGTGGGCTATTTCAGTGAAAACACTCTTCATCCTACCACTACCTCAGCACTTAACCCCTCACAGCCTTCATCTCTGTGGAAAAGTGATACGTGGACGACTCACTACTGTGCGTGGACGTACCTTCAGCTTCTTCTGATAGACCAGCTGACTGTTCTGTATGGAGAACCACCGTCTAAAAGGAGGAGAAGCAGGAGATGAATAAAGCATGAATCGGATGAATATCCTTTCAAGGTCTAATGTTGGGTGTAGAAAAGGTGAATCTGTGTGAATGATAAAAACTGTCTCTGACAGAAAATGGTTCAGAAGACCTGTCAGTGCTGAAAAAGTTTGAATTTGACAAAAGTAACATTTTGTGATAAATTATATATTTGCACACTGCTGAAGGAACTGAAGGAACTGAGGAACGGTAACTTGACACAGTGCCTAAGATGGTGCCTTAACTTTAATGGTCTAACTAAAACTGAACTGAAAAAGTGATGACTGTGAAAACATAAACTCCCATGTTTTTCACAGCATTACTAACATTCAGTAGATTCAGTCATGACGGTGCAACATACCTGTTCCAGGTCTTAAAGGCATTGCTGGCCCTCTTGAACAGGTAGCCCTCCATCACCACACCATTAGGAGCGTCAACATTGAATTCCACTTTAGATTCGTCATAGGAGAAATCCTGGAACACGGGGGTAAAAAAAAAGTACAAACTCAGAATCTGGGAAAAACAACACTGACAGTCAGAAAAGGTCAGGACCCCAGCGGGTCAGGAAGACGGCAGGATGCTGTTCCGACTTTTCCAATGATGAAACAGGAAAAAAAACATGTGTTCCTTTTCCGTAAAGACCCCTCATGTGTGTGCTGTTCCTGTCGTTCCAGTGGAGACGTACTGAACCTCCAGTCCATAAAGCAACTTAATCAGCAGAAATTGTGCGCTGATGTAGAAAGACGTCACGTGTTGGACCACATGTGCGTGGCAGTACGGCCGTGCGCCGTCTTCCTGTGTGGCACACACGCAGCGTTTCATGACCCAAAGGAGTTGAGGGTGACGCAAAATGTTACATAAACTGAGGATGACTCATAAAAATGACCATCTAACCTTTTCACGATTTACCTGGTACCCAGCACTTCACCACTGGGACTCAAGTCACTTCACCAGAAGGAAACAGTCAAAGATTTCCTTTACAGTAAATATTGGTATTTTTGAATCAAGTTAAATTAAATTAAAATGTTTTTTTTACTGCGCATGGTTTTATATTTTACTTCATTATTTTTAAACCAGCTGCCTTTGAAATTATTGGTTTTTAAGCTTTTCACAACGGACACAACTTTTCAAATACGACCTGCATGACCAACACTAACGCACAGAAGTTAAACTTAGCTTCAGCTAAGACACGTACACACTGATGAGAAATTATTCCAAGGATTAGTAGACTATTCATCATTTGGAGACACACTCCATGACAAAGTAACACAACAAGAAGGCCCTTAAATTAAATTCTGAATCCACACAAACACAACAGTAGAACGAACCCAAGTGCCACTAGTGTCACACCTACCACAGTTTGAGAACCACCACTGTAAATCAGTGTGTTGAGAATTCCAAATTACGCTAACAACCAAAATACAAGTTTGTTTTTAAACTTCTTCATCTTCTGAAGTAGACACAAAAAAATGAATTTTTGCGAGAATTTTTGGCTTTCAACAAAAAATCACAGTTCTGTTATCTCTTAAAGTTTCAATAGCTGAAATGATAAACATTTTACAGTTTAGAAAGTATAAAAGTCAGAGAAAAAAATCCCTATATAATGTAATGTGGATATAAGACCTGGTATGACCAGTAAAAACCACTTTCAAAAGGCCAGCGTGGTCCAAAGGCACCCACCAAACTACGGTCCCACCAGCAGCGGATCTTCATTCTCAGACGTTCCGAGTGTTCCAACAACATAGTGAATCTCAGAGAAGTTCTTCGCTCTCACAGAACATTAACGCGTCTGCAGCACAGTGAGTAATTCCAACACTGACGAGTGTTTCCTCCGCTACAGACTCAGGATTAACCAACCAGCTGCCAGGAAGCTGCGAGGAGGAAGAGTGGACGACACCACGCCGTCCTGTGGCTGACACTGACCCAAAACCAAACGGCCAGATTCTGTCTGCCTGAGAGGTGGAACTCCCTGAACACACCTCCCTCACCGCAGGGAGAAGGAGGGAGTTAAAGCTCAGTGTTGACCTGGAGGGAGTCTATCTGGCAGATCACCAAGAACATCAGACTAATGGGAAACTACTACAAAAGATTTAACACTTCATCACCTCCATCAGCTCCACTCAAACTCCACAACGATCTTTTTCAATGGAACTCCCAGAAATAAATCAAACCCTCGCTCTCACCTGCAGGGGTCAGAATCCTGTGCTGGTCTGAAGACAACATTATTGAACAAGCAGGAAAAGTGTGGCGTCACAACGTCACAAGGACACGAGGAAGAGGAACAGACGAGGGATAATCCCAGACACGGGATGAAGCAGACACAGAGATCAGATGCTTCATCCACCTGCTGCTGCTGCTGTTGACAGCCTGTGGGCAGAACTTCAGCTGGTGGAGCTGATTACTCACTCTGCCACCAGGGCTTTGTTCATGTGCTACAGTCACAAGAAGTACATGTTGAGAAAGATAACAATCTTCTAGTTTCAAATTGAGTGTCAAGTCTGTTTAGTTGAACACAACACTGACGTAGTAGCAGGAATTGAAAAAAGACAAACGTGAGGAGGTCGTGGTTGAGAAAATGGGAGCAAAGCTGAAATAGCTGAAATTATTCGCAGTGATTAAATAATGGTTTACAGACAACGCAAATTAAATTGGCTAATTTCTCCTGGTACAACTGGTGATCTGTCGTGGCACAGACACAGTGGTTGCAAAATCACTGGTCCAGTTGTTCAGGCACTGGGCTTGAAATGGGACGACTGCTGGTTCAATCCATGGTATTGAGTTTTGGAGCCAAACAAACCTCGCTCCAGGAAGACAATACAGATGAGACGTGATAACAACATCAACTCTGACTGCTGTAAAAATAGATCTAGAACCAGCATGTAGCACTGCCCCCCCGCCCGCCCGCTGCCCCTCCCCGCTGCTGCCCCCCATTACAGGACTTCTCCATTAGGTTTTACATTAAATATGAATGACGCTGGTATTTGAATGTGTTTCCTGATTTGTGTGACAGCGTCCACAGGTTCAGCACCTTAACTCCCTTTCACTCCTGCTGGTTCTGTCCTTGTACTGACTGAATACTGCCCCTTTACCCTGTTGTAAATTTACACAAGGTCTACTGAACAAACTGGACATCTTTTCAAGAAGATATAATTACAACCTGCCAGTCAGAGTACTTTAAAATATAGATCTTACAGATGTTGAACCCATGGATGGACGAGATAGGAAACGAGTTTTGAAAGAAACTCAAGAGAGTATTTTGATACTCATTTAGAAGTAAAAACTTTCACTCACCTGTAAAAGAGTCTGAGTGGAGATGTTTCCATTGGTAACGATAGGAAATAAGAAAAAAAACAAACAAACAAATACAGCATTAAAATCATTAGTTTCTGTTGGATAAATGCAAAGGGTTAGGGTTAAAGTTTATGATTTTTTATGATTTATTTTTAAATTATTCAAATATTTGATCAATATAGAATGACATTCATATTACACACACTTCCAAACTGCTGACCCCACATGTTCACTGTTCACTACAATATGTCTAATGGTGATAAATGTTTAGTTTTATGAACTAAAATCTCAGCCAAAACAGATCAATAACTGCCCCCCCCCCCCATGTGACACCTCAGCAGAAGTGTCTGACAGATGGCCATTGATCCTGGGGCACAGAGGAGCTGCACACTGAGACTAAAGGGCTCGGTTTAAATTATTAAAAATAAGGAGATGTGAGACAATGAGTGCAGCCCACAGTTATGGTGGTGATCAAAGAGGTAATGTAGTATTTATGATAGCTGTTAGAAACCACTGTCAACTTTACCGTTGTAGATTTAACGGCTATTTAGCGTTGACCTTGTGACCATGAAATAGTCTCGTTATTGGTGCTTCTGTTTTCACCAACAAGGACTGGACTACAAGTCGGAATCATATATTTATTTATATACTCTCCAATATGTACAGAACCGAAATATCAACACATAAGTATGTACTGAACTGTTACGTTACTTGTATCATTTCAGCCCTACTGTTTCGTAATACCCTACGTTGGTCCATAAAGAAAAGCCTTAAAAAGTATGGACTCACCCTCTGCTGAATGGTGGCGTGTTTGTGCTCCATTTCCCTCTTCTCCATGGCTGAGTCGATCACCAGCTGAACCAGCTGTCAATCAAACCAAACAAAGGAAAATTTAAACAAAAAATAATAATATAATATAAACTCCTCATATACTGTAACAGACAATGTTCACAACGTGAGGCTGCTGTAAACGAACACCGACTGAACCTCGGGTGAAACCTCTGCTCTGGTGTTTGTGGATGATCGAAGCATCAATTCAGTTTTAATGGGTAAATTACACAACCAGCGCTGGTCAATAGTTCATGTGGAGGTCATGCAGCTGAGCTGATGGAGCTCAGGCTTCATGGAGATAAAAAAAAAAAAAAGATCTGCTCACCTCAGCGGCCAGCTTCTTCATGTACGGATCAATTTCGTCCAGCAGATTGTAGCCCTGCTGGAAAAGTGAGTACTGGGCGTGCATGAATGACAGCATCTGTGTGAGAAGAAGCAGAAGAACAGGAAGTGAGTTCAGTCACCAATAAGGCTGAGGAGTCGTGGAATGTGTTATAAAGATGAAGAATGACTTACCGCATCGAGGATTTCAAACTTCTTCTTGGCCTGTAGGACGTTAATCTGCAGTGGGAATAAAAAGATTTGATTAAAACTGTCAGATGAGTTTTCTGGCTGCCCTGGATAATTTCTAAAACATTTGCTTTTATTATCTTAGTCAACGTAGCAGAGATTATCAAAAGAGTAAAAAGAAAAATTAAATTGACTGAGTATTTTGTTGTTTTTTTTTGCTATTTTGGTCATGTTCTTTGTGTTAAATCAGAAATATTTCTGCACAAATTACAATAAAGTAAAACCAAACTACACATAAAACAAAATAACAAACAAAATGTTACTTTATATAAAAATATTAAGTAAAATTGAAAAACAAAAATCAAAAATTTGGTCAGAAAAATTAGCAACAAAGCTTTAAGCTAATTAGAAAAAAAACACACAAAAGTTTAAAAAATGTAACCATAAACAATATCAAAAATGAAGACCCTGTTATCACTGAAGCCAACAGTCAACGTAAACAGCGTCATCCTGGAGAACCGACCTGTAGCACGTAGTCCAGGGCCAGGTGTCTGAAGCACTTGCGGGTGATGCTGAGGGTGGAGGTGGCTTCCTCCACCTCGTGAGGTTTGTTCCTCGGCGCCTGAGCGTTCTTCACCTGTGCGATCTCCATATCCTCCCGCACTCTGTCGAAGTGCTTCTTGGTATCCTTGAACTTACGCACATCCCTGACGACAAAAATGTACAATGATTTATTAACGAAGTCCAAGTAACCGAGTTCGACCCCATGGTTCAGGACTATCGGTATCTAACCAAATATTTAGGGCTGTACTCAACTGAATATTTAAAGGGACCAAAAAGCTTTTAAAAATGTCTGCTTTCCCTTATTTTTTAACCTGTGTTGAATTTTTTTCACATGTAGAAACTTCAGCAGAAAACATCTCACTGAAACGTCAGACATCTTGGGTTTACTTACTCTTTCACAAAGTTGTGCAACTGCTGCTTTACCGAGCGCTGAGCCTGGTCAAACAGAATCTGAAAAACACACACAGGAGAAATGAATCTCAACGATTTCATACAGTAACTTTACACAGTCCTTTCCTCGAGACTGAACCAGCAAAATCAGCTGCAACCTCAGGTCCCAATACTGCCCCCACTGGTGTGTACAGGAGGCAGAGTAAACATGATGGGTAATGTACAGGAGGCAGAGTAAACATGATGGATAATAAAATGGTAATTGTTCTTTTTTTTTTTAGGAGTTCCTAGCATAACTGCTTTGCATTTTTTTTTAAAAAAAAGTTTTTTTTTTCTTTTTAGGAGTTCCTATCATAGCTGCTTTGCAAGCAGAAAGCAGAGAACCCCGGGTTCAATTCCCAAAGGAACCACATAACCCCTGTGGCAGCCTGTGAGTTGCAACAACGTACTTAATGGTGCCTCCTGTGGCAGCCTGTGTCAATTGCAAAGACTCACACTACATTTCAACATTGTTGGACTCCAAATAAGGGACTGCATTTTTTATTATTTTCAAGAGTCAGAGAACATAGCTTTGTCCCTTTTTTCTTCAGGTTCCATTTTTTTTGGGGGGGGGGAGTGCGGGGGGGTTCAGACAAATACAGTACAATGCAATCCTTTAACTTTATTTTTATTACTTTTTGTACATTATTTCCCTGAAGACAATGGTTCACCATGATGTATTCCATATTAATGCACTCAACAGTTTCTGACAACTTGTATTTATTTCGACCTATCATCTCAAGCCTGGGTTTCTGTGCTTGACCCAGGTCAATGTTTTTGACACTTCCAAGATAAACTGACTTCTCTTTAACCCACCACATTATTGTGCAATCCTTTGTAACACTACCCCAGAGGTACCACATTCCAACAGGGGGCGACATAACACAATTTTTCTGTTCAATTTATTTCCTCTTACTGCCGTGTCAAACTGAACAACACAAAGCTGTAATGTAATAACACACTGCCCTCAGTGAGGCGCTTTACATTCAAGACCTCGCCCTCCCTCGTCATTACCGTCCCTCTGAACACTCTGTCTTTTTCTATCACTACTGTCATCCCACTGCTGCTGCTGCTGTTAAATAGGTCAGCCAGGGGAGAGGGAGAGAGGACATGAGTGAGAGAGAGAGGGAGGGATTTCAGTTCCATGTGAAATCAGAGAGTCTGGATCCAGCGCTGGGTGAAAAACACTGTAAGACACTATGTCATACAGTCGACCAAAGCCTGTCACAACAACTGGACTGGGCGATCTCAGTTCAACACGTGAGTGTCAGATGAATAATGTACTCCTTTATTGTTGTCACTGTGAGAGAAGGCTGCGTACAGCATCCACTAACCAACGGCAATTAAATATAGATGGCTTTAATTTTAACCAGACATGAAAACAAAAAACGTGACTCAAATGGAAGTGGTCAGCTTTACTGCACTCCTGCCAGCATCGCTTTGTTGTGATGGTCGGTCTGGGCCTCATTTTTACTGCCTTGTAAAGTCAATGGCTCTTAATATGTGTGAAAGTGGAAGAAAAGGAAGGTCAAACCTCCACCTCACTGCAATCACACACCGATCTGTTGCGATGAATTAACAGCTCTCCATGGCTTCATGTTGACCATCATGTTCAACAGCAGTGCTAATATATGACCTAAACCAGGGGTCACCAACTTTATTTGTCAGGGGGTAGGGGGGTCACCAACTATATTTGTCAGGGGGTAGAGGCAGACACTCATATTCCATGGAATAAAATCACATTTCTGTCTAACAGAATTTAAATACATTTTATGGATTACTAATACAGTTATTATATATTATATATATATGTTTCTTTTCAGTTGCTTTTATAGCTGGGACCACACAATATTTTCTCTTTGATCCTCACAATTTTGGAATTTATTGGGCCAGATTGAATGATCCGACAGGACAGATTCGGCCCACGGGCCACAAGTTGATAATCGCTGATTTAAATTTTTCGTCAACAGTCGTTTTTTCTGAGACGAAAATGTTCCAAAACCTTCATATTGACGAAGAAACCTACTGATGCATTCATCTATTAAAAAAGCAAATTTAGATATTTGTTCATATTTCTCAACTAAATTAACTAAATTTGGAATGATTTGGAATCAAAACAAACACTGGGCTACATGCTAACAAGTCCAAATGACAAGTGGTAGGTGATGTCATCGAATCAGGTCAGTGGACCAGTGGACCGGGGTCATAAACACTTCAATGACAGGTTGGTTGTGGGGTTGCGTGCGTAGCGCTCTGACCCAGAGGGGTCATATTGGCTGGACGTAAACCACCAGGCTCTAAATGTTGTCAAGTCAACAAGTGCAGCTCCCTGATGTTTGTGAGCAGTGGCAGCAGAAAAACCACTGTGGGACTTCCTGACTCTGGGGTGAGCGCTGCCTGTAGCATTCCTGAACTGTTTGTGGGAAGCTGACACCCTGCATTCAGTGGTCCAAGGTTTCACAAGTTGATGTGAACCAGGGGGACTGGGAAATGTCCAGTGCCAAACAACCAGTGTATTAGAATTAACGCCAATGAAACTGTTTGTGGAAAACCTGAGTTTTTTAGCACATTGAAACAATGTTAGGAAAATCTTTGGCTGTGAGCCGTCTCAGTGACATTGTTTTTACCATTCATGAGGCTAACGGCCAACGATACAGGAGCAGCTGCTTTACAACTGCTGCTGTAATTTAATATTTACCAGAAACGCATGAAATTTAACTGCATCCCATTGACATTGGCCTACGGACACATAAAGGTCAGAAAAATATACGTTCACAGCCCGATGGGATGAAACTAAAGCTACAATCTAAAAACACACCACAAGATTGACGTGCTGACAGTAAAAGAACCAGCGAACCACGTACTTTTCTAAATATATGAAGAGCCTTCAGACATTTTATGAGAATTTCTAAACACCCATTGCCGTCTATTTGTCCACAGCGTAGCACACCGTGTAATTCAGCGGGGACTATAAATCTGTTCACAAGTACTGCGAGTGTCCTTATGGTACCACAAAAGTGGGATAGTGATCTTTTTTTAATTTTATTTCTGACTATATTTTTCCAGTGCATTTAGATGAATGCACCAATACAACAAAAACAGTTTTACTGTGAAAAGATTGTGAATTTTCAACTAGGGAAAAAAGCTTCATTTGTTTTTTGTACTTCATATATACATACACATATACTGTATGTGCGTACAGATAGGTAAACATATGCACACATATATGTACATACATTTATGAATACATATGCATACATATATACATTTGAACAAAACAGATAGATAAATGTAAATATATATAAATATGTAAATATAAATATAAACATACATATATAAATATGCACATATATAGATTTATGAATATATATGAATGTATATATATATATATACATTTTATCAAAACCTATATATGTACATATACATTAGTATGTAAATATAAATATATACATACAAATATATATATGCACATATAAACATATATACATTTATGAATATATATGCATGTATATATACACATTTTATTAAAACATATACAGTATATGAGCATATATATTCATATGTAAATATAAATATATACATACAAATATATATATGCACATATAAACATATATACATTTATGAATATATATGCATGTATATATACACATTTTATTAAAACATATACAGTATATGAGCATATATATTCATATGTAAATATAAATATATACATACAAATATATATATGCACATATAAACATATATACATTTATGAATATATATGCATGTATATATACACATTTTATTAAAACATATACAGTATATGAGCATATATATTCATATGTAAATATAAATATATACATACAAATATATATATGCACATATAAACATATATACATTTATGAATATATATGCATGTATATATACACATTTTATTAAAACATATACAGTATACGAGCATGTATATTCATATATAAATATAAATATATACATACATATATAAACATATGTACATACATTTATGAATACATATGCATACATTTATACATTTTAAGAAAATAAACCCAACAGACAGTCTGTAAACAACGGTTTAAAAGAGCATATGTTGGATTTGTTTTCTGAAAAGCAGGAGACAGTATTTTTGACGTCACGTACTTCCCACAGAGCTGTGCCAACTACGTATAAGACACGGCCTACCGGCCGTGACTGCAGATGTATTTAAGACCTCATGAGGCATGGGTACATGAGCTGAGTTTGTAGTACCGAAACAACCTTACTAGATTTCACTGCTGGGAACATATTGTGTGTATTACGTTTGTTGGGGGAAACCAGGACAGAGAAGAGCTTTAAGAAGAAGTTCTATATAGAGAGTGACAGCACATCCTCTGGTACTGTTTATTGTGATAACAATTAGAGCCCAGTTGTCAGAGTTGTCAATTCAAAAACGTTGCTCTTATTTCATCTACAGACATCCCGTAGTACGAGGTCGGTGGACGGAATCGCTCTCCTTTCATCAAGTTACTGACTATCACAACATTGACTTTCACTTTGATAGACAGGTCTACAGACACAACAAATGTGGAATGTGAGGAAACAAAGGAAACATTGTGTTGTCGCGGAGTGAGGGATCTTCACCGACATGACTTCACGACTCGAGAATGAGAGCGTTATAAAGGACTACTGTCCCGACTATCGTGTTGCTAATTCCCTATTTACTCCACTGGCATGCTGGGACACAAACTGATCTAATGACATTAATTAAACCATTAGGTTTGTCAGCAGAAAACAATTTTGTACTTGTTTTTTTTTTGGGGGCTGGGGGGTGGAGTTAATAATCCAGAGGTATAATTTTACCATCATTTTGAGGTAGGACACTGATTAAATCTGACTAAACTTTGTCCAGGTCGGTAGCAGGACGACACAGACTGTTGGCCACGGACACACCCACACACAGAGCTGGAGCTCATACTGCTGACCAATCAGCTGTGAGATAATCCACTCTGTCTATGAAGTCACAATTAAACCACTTCTGTAAAATAAAATAAAAAGTAATTTGGAGGTAAACTGTTGACTAACCATAAAACCCAAACTTCATGTTCACTGGTTCCTCAACCGGGGTAAAAAGGAAGATGGAAAGAGGAACATCTGTACTCTGTACCGCAATTTGGTTTGTTCTCACTTGGAACGATACGATGTAGCCATTAAACAGGTAGAATATTTACAGACAACTGCAGTATTCCCTAGTCTGAGTGGCCATTGTGAAGCTGACGTGTTGTTAAAAAAGTGTAGGTAAGGACTGAGTTTAATGTTTAAATATAAAAAGCACAGAGAAATACCAGAACTGGCATCTCACATGAGAGTAAAAGTAGAGACCCTTCAGAATGAGAACTTTTTAAAATTCTTTTTAGTAACAAAACAGTGCACTCTACAAAGCGTCCTTGTGTTACTGGTCGAAATCCCATTGGTTCAGATGAAATGATTTTATTGTTTTCAGTTCGACTGAGACTCGGCACCTCATTTCTAATGGATGTTCAGGAGGTCGAAGGAAAGTCAATAATTTATGGAGTTTTCATATGGCATCATGTGCTCGACTTAAACAGAGAAGGTTACAAAACACCGGCCTGGCTCTGGTGTTTCCATGCAGAGAATTTAATTAAAAAAATAAATAAATTGTGAAATCTCAGCTAAAAAAAAAAGACAGAGAGTAAAAGACAGAGGGAGAAAGAGAGAGTAAGAGGGCTGCACTTAACTTATTCTTGGTGTTCATCCCAAACACCAGACATGGTTCTGTTGTTCTGATAATTGGCAGGAGAACAATCGGGACACGAGAGCCAAGGGTTTAATACTCTTCTTGGGTCTGGGAGGTTGCAGCTCTCGTGTAAACCAACTGCTCACATCAATGTGCTGCTTGGTTTAAAGGGGATGAAGTTCAAGGTTTCTCAGGTGAGGTCAGAACAGCCAAGGGCAAACTATGGCCCGGGGGGTCGGATGCGGCCCGATTGGCTTTTTAACCTTGGCCTGCTAATCTTGTCTAAATTATGTTATTAATTTCTATTTTCATTATATTTCTGACTTTTCCCTGCAATGTCCGCATTTCCCCAATAGATGGTGTAGAAAAGGCTAAAAGCATTCTAGCCTTTATGCGTGACTTTTTACACGTCATTTTGTCTTAGTTCATATGAAGGTCACATTTTAGGACCCACTGTGGGCCTCGAGTCAAAACGTTTGCCCACTCTTGGTTAGAACTATTCTGACAAAGTCATGTTTTAACAAAATATTTACTCAAACAATTTGTAAAGAAAAGCCATGAAGCCATGAAGCCATGAAGCCATGAAGCCATGAAGCCATCCACCTCAACAGCACGTAGCCTGAATTATAAAGAAGGACGAGCATCAAAGAAGAAGAAGAAACGTATCTTATCAATCACGTGCACTGGAGCTGCATTAAAAAAAAAAATCTAATATGACAACAGAGGCTGAGCTCACTTTGAAGGTCACACTATTACAAAGATTATTTCTATTTAATCTTGAACCTCAGGGGAGAGTTACTCGCTCTCTCTTTTTTCTTTCTTATCACCCCTTTCCACTTCCCTCCCCCACTCTGCTTTTACATCAAAGCAACAAGGAAAAACCCTGATCATTTTTAATGTGCCGTCAGACTTTTCACTCTAATGGACTAGTGGGAGTGGGAGAGGCAAAGCAGAAGATTTAAAAAAAAAAAGCCCAGATGAGCTTCCAGTGAAAGAGAGCAGCTGGGCTCAGGCCAAACCACACACCGCTGTGACTGTGAAGTGTCACAGAGAGAGAGTGTGTGTGTGTGTGTGTGTGTCAGAGCAAATCTGTTGACACTCTGAAGTCAACTCTGGAGGGCCTGGGGGAGGGGGGGCATCATGTCACCACATCACTCTGTGTGTGTGTGTGTGTGTGTGATAAAGATGAATGAACGTTACCGGTATTTTATTTATATTATTCTTCACTGTTGTTACAGTCCTTTAACATCAATGTGTTACTGTAAAGAGTTGTTTTTTTTTTATTGGGCTCTGGTATTTTACACAGAGCATGAAGCTATTTTAATAAACGTATTGCACTCAACCTAAAAACTAATAATGATTTATTTATAAATTACTAATGACAATTATTTTTAACCGTCCAAATTTGGGCAGGTTCTAACTGAATCTTCAACCACTCAGACTCTCTCTAACACCAGATGTGAACAATAGAACTCAAATCCCCCCCCCACCCCCACTGTGACGCCCTCTTAAACACCAGGTCTGAGAAGAGCCAGAGGGGTCAGAGGTCAACTGCTGCCTTAAAAAACTGTGACTCCATCTCCTGCCTCATCCTTGTTTTCTCCATCTGTTGTAATGTGGGATTTATTTCTCATTAACATCTATCCCGCTAACACACTGTTGACATGCTAGGACGTACGATGGATACTGTGATAGGTCAAAGGTCAAAGAGCCTTACAACTGTCCAGCCACTAGAGCTATCTCACGCCCACCTCACAATCCCAAGGTATAACGCCTCTGTTTAAAACCTCTGTGATGATACAGTGGGAGAGGACGGAGGAGGAGGCGGCGGCTTTTTAATGACACACATCTTTGTTGCAGCCAAAGAAAAGAATGTCACACAAACACACACACACATACGCACGCACGCACACACTGCACTTTACGGCATCATCAAACAGGCCCAGGGTTGAAGTTAATGGACTTCAAAGGTCTCGAGGAGCCGGCTGGGGTCAGCCCCCGCTGAAGGCGGGGCGGGGGGTAAATGACACAGATGTGAAACATAAGCTTAAAAATACAACAAGACAAAATACAGACTAGAGATAAGAAGCCACAAAGTGACAGTGACAACAAAATGAAATCATTTCAACAAGCTCGCTTTTGAGAAACACAAAAAAGTTTAACTCTGTTTAAATAAATGTGACGTCTGAATGATACAAACGACAAACTGGTATTTGTAACTTAGGGGTTCCCAACTGAGGGGCTGTGGTCCCGCTGATGTTCTGGATTTATGTCAGGGCTTCACATCCTGACACTAACTTTTCAAAGTGAGATCTTTCACAGAGACAAGAGCTAAAATAAAATTCCAAAGTGGACAAAACTCAAGGTGGTATGGAACCTTCTAGCGCTTCCTTAAATACTAGCAAATTTATCGGATGTGTCGGGGGTTGACTCACCATGTGGTAGTTGATGATCTCCTGGAGGCTTTCGCTGCACTTTTCCAGAAACTCCTGCATAAAAAAAATACAATTTATTAAATAAAACATGAGAAATGTAGCGACAACACAGTCTGATCAAGGGTTTTATCTCATTTGATCCCATCATGTCTTTATGTCTTCATGTCTTATCAAAAACTCACCCATAAAATGTGGATTTACTGATGGACATAATGATATCTGTTCATTAAATCTCCACGCTGCTCTGTACCAATGGCGCCTCCGGTGGAAACCTGTGGCTTACACTGTGAATTTCCCCGTTGGACGAATATAGAACTTCAATCAATTTTATTTAAATTTCATAAGTTTTGTCATGCCAAACGATTTCCCCCTCGGAGTCAGAAATTCTCATTCCGATTCTGAAATGTTCCTATTGTTGCAGTTGTATTTACAATATTGAGTCTGTCACCAAGGCAAACCACAATTTATTAGGTAAATGAAAAACCTTTCAAAACTAACGTTAAATCAACACAGGTCTTTGCCAACGTTTGAGTTTTCACGGAGGATTTCTCCCTTTGAACTTCAGTAAATGAACTAAACCTGTAGTTCTGATGTAGGTAGTGTTTTTACAATGGAAATATGAACGAGCCTTTAAACCAGGAAACTCAGAATAAGTCGGGCAGCCCAGGCCAAAAAGGCTTTTAATAGGACTTCATGTCAGCAGCAGTGAAAACAGTCTTTGACTCTGATGCTGCGAGGTGAGCCAGGAGTGAGTTTCCAGACCTGATCTGAGCCACAAAGACTACTGTGTTAGAGATCAGGTTCACTCACTAACGACTACCGTTAGAGTACAGCACAGGAAGTCACATTCCGACAGTAAAAGAGACAACAAGACACCGGTGGATGAACGACACACGTCAGAGACTCACAGAGATCATCACGTCTTTCTTGCACTGCTGAGACAGATCACGAACACCGTTGACGAAAAGCTTGTTGGCGCCGACGTACGCCTTCCCTGCTTCGATCATGCCGCTGCAGAGCTTCACCAGCTGAGGAGGAAAAGGAGAAGGATGGTGATATAAGTGTTATATAGATGACTGAGGACCAGGTCGATGAAAGAGGGGACGGATATGTTTCAGTTCAGGGTAAATCCCAAGGTATAACGCCTCTGTTTAAAACCTCTGTGATGATACAGTGGGAGAGGACGGAGGAGGAGGCGGCGGCTTTTTAATGACACACATCTTTGTTGCAGCCAAAGAAAAGAATGTCACACAAACACACACACACATACGCACGCACGCACACACTGCACTTTACGGCATCATCAAACAGGCCCAGGGTTGAAGTTAATGGACTTCAAAGGTCTCGAGGAGCCGGCTGGGGTCAGCCCCCGCTGAAGGCGGGGCGGGGGGTAAATGACACAGATGTGAAACATAAGCTTAAAAATACAACAAGACAAAATACAGACTAGAGATAAGAAGCCACAAAGTGACAGTGACAACAAAATGAAATCATTTCAACAAGCTCGCTTTTGAGAAACACAAAAAAGTTTAACTCTGTTTAAATAAATGTGACGTCTGAATGATACAAACGACAAACTGGTATTTGTAACTTAGGGGTTCCCAACTGAGGGGCTGTGGTCCCGCTGATGTTCTGGATTTATGTCAGGGCTTCACATCCTGACACTAACTTTTCAAAGTGAGATCTTTCACAGAGACAACAGCTAAAATAAAATTCCAAAGTGGACAAAACTCAAGGTGGTATGGAACCTTCTAGCGCTTCCTTAAATACTAGCAAATTTATCGGATGTGTCGGGGGTTGACTCACCATGTGGTAGTTGATGATCTCCTGGAGGCTTTCGCTGCACTTTTCCAGAAACTCCTGCATAAAAAAAAAACATTTTATCAAATAAAACATGAGAAATGTAGCGACAACACAGTCTGATCAAGGGTTTTATCTCATTTGATCCCATCATGTCTTTATGTCTTCATGTCTTATCAAAAACTCACCCATAAAATGTGGATTTACTGATGGACATAATGATATCTGTTCATTAAATCTCCACGCTGCTCTGTACCAATGGCGCCTCCGGTGGAAACCTGTGGCTTACACTGTGAATTTCCCCGTTGGCCGAATATAGAACTTCAATCAATTTTATTTAAATTTCATAAGTTTTGTAATGCCAAACAATTTCCCCCTCGGAGTCAGAAATTCTCATTCCGATTCTGAAATGTTCCTATTGTTGCAGTTGTATTTACAATATTGAGTCTGTCACCAAGGCAAACCACAATTTATTAGGTAAATGAAAAACCTTTCAAAACTAACGTTAAATCAACACAGGTCTTTGCCAACGTTTGAGTTTTCACGGAGGATTTCTCCCTTTGAACTTCAGTAAATGAACTAAACCTGTAGTTCTGATGTAGGTAGTGTTTTTACAATGGAAATATGAACGAGCCTTTAAACCAGGAAACTCAGAATAAGTCGGGCAGCCCAGGCCAAAAAGGCTTTTAATAGGACTTCATGTCAGCAGCAGTGAAAACAGTCTTTGACTCTGATGCTGCGAGGTGAGCCAGGAGTGAGTTTCCAGACCTGATCTGAGCCACAAAGACTACTGTGTTAGAGATCAGGTTCACTCACTAACGACTACCGTTAGAGTACAGCACAGGAAGTCACATTCCGACAGTAAAAGAGACAACAAGACACCGGTGGATGAACGGCACACGTCAGAGACTCACAGAGATCATCACGTCTTTCTTGCACTGCTGAGACAGATCACGAACACCGTTGACGAAAAGCTTGTTGGCGCCGACGTACGCCTTCCCTGCTTCGATCATGCCGCTGCAGAGCTTCACCAGCTGAGGAGGAGAAGGAGAAGGATGAAGGAGAAGGGCTGCAGAGCTTCACCAGCTGAGGAGGAAAAGGAGAAGGATGGTGATATAAGTGTTATATAGATGACTGAGGACCAGGTCCATGAAAGAGGGGACAGATATGTTTCAGTTCAGGGTAAAATTTCCTTTAGTTTAACTGGTTAAAACACAGAATAAAGTTACATCATATTGGATTATATTGTGAAAATGATATTACTGACACAAAAACATGTCCTCTGCCATTCACCTCAGCAGCAGGAGGCTTACTGACACAAAAACATGTCCTCTGCCGTTCAGTAGCAGGAGGTAGGTGGATTTGAACCTGCAACCTTCCGGACACTTCCTTAACCACCAGGCTACTACTGCCCCAGTGTATTGCATTCAATTGTATCATATTGTACTGTATAATATAGAGAAAAGTGCTACTTGTCATTGTAACACCTGGACTCAAACCTGAAACCTTCAGGACCCAAGCAGGCTCCTTTAACCACTAAGCCACCGCTCCCCTATAGTTCTGGCTTCTATAATAATAATAATAATAGAGACTTGAGTCTATGCTGTGCAAAACAATAAAATAATCATCTTTTCGCTCTGTTCTCAAACACACTGACTGTAATAATGTTCTCTCTCCTGATTGGATGTTGTTCTCATCTGACTGTGTGTTTTTTTTCCAGGTGTTGTTGTTTCCTTCTTCACCCCAAAAATCATACAAACAGATGGGGAATGCGGTCCTAGTTGTGTGATAGTGTAAATGTAGGTGTGAATTTAGTGTGAACTGGTCCTTTGTTGGACATATATATCGTCTTGGTGGCCTCAGCCTTTGACACACTACAGTACAGTACCAGCAGGGGGCATGGTCCCAGCCAGGAGACGGAAGATAAACGATGAGCTCCGTCTGAATCCCTGGCTACTGTCCTGAATGTTGACGACCATCATGTGGTCTTTGTTACGCACACACACACACACACACACATGTGTTTGCTGCAGAGAAATGTGGTGGACAGAAGGATCCTCGTGACACTACAGTCACAGTCCCAGCCCAGGGGACTCCCTGCTGCAGGGCACACACACACACACACTCACAACAGGACAGCTTTTGTTTTTACACTAACATCTCCACGCTGCTCTGTACCAACGGCACTTGGACAGAACTGCAGGTCATGCAGATGTTTGTTACTCGTCTCATTGCCCCCCTGTGGTGACACGTGCTAATCTGTGCAGTACCACGTGGGCTGCACATGTTCACACCAGCATCGCCCAGCAAACACTGCTACATCGTCTGTGTTCGAACACAAACTGTAACACGTTGTTCTTAAACCACCTTCTTTTCTGCGGCAGTTGTCAGCGTTTTCTTTAGTGACATCTGCCGTCAAATCTGCCCGGTTTAGCCTCTCTTCTCTTCTCCGCTGCTCGGAGGAAGATCTTCTCTTCTAATGTTACATCCTGTGTTCTGTCGCCAGACTTTCTGCTCATCTGTCACTCAGACTCTTCCATCTGCTGCCCAGTCATCCTGGAAGACCAACAAAGTCTACCCTGGGTCTAAAGGACGAGCTTCACACTTTAAAAACAGACGGGCATTGAATACAAACATGTCCGAAAGGGTTGGAAACCAAAGACAACAGTATTCAATTCAAATTTTTAATGATTATTATTGACAAGGGTAGTAACTGTGGAGTAATCACGATCATAATTATTTATGATAATTAATCATGATTAATAAAGGTAGATTGCCATTGTTCTGTCCTTGTATCTCCAACAAACATTTGTTGTTTATGATTATATTGAGTGTCAAACACAGTATATACATATATGCAGCTTTCAGCCACTTGAGTGACTGTTGTCAAACCCTCTGATGTAGTTTTCTTTTTTATAATCATTTGCTTTAAGTTTCTCAGTCTATTGACAATAAACTTTCCACCATGATGCGATGGGAAGCTAACATGTAGCTCGTAGGGGTTTTGCTAACGCTAACGACAGCAAGAAAACCTGCGGCTGCCTGAATAATCCTGGCTGTCGCTGACATTTACTTCAACTCAAGGTCCAGAGACTGACAGATGGTACATGAGAATTACAGCCAAAGCATCTGGCTGCCTCATTACAGAGCGACTGGATGTTCTGGAAGACAACACGGTTAAAGTCTAATGCTTTTAGTGGGTTCCGTCCCACTCACCGCTGCCACGTCACGTTTTTATAAACCAGAGCTGAGCTGTTCAGAGCAAAGAGATCTTATACTGAGACAGAGAGCAGCGGAGGCTGAGACTTTTATGTAACAATTACATTGTAATGTTGTGTCTACATTCACCAGGTCCCAGTCAATGAGGGCCAAAGGTTAATAAATATGTTAGTAAATAGGTAGGTTTACACATCGTTGTCTGTTTTGACCTGTGACTGTGACCTACATTAAACCTACTGTGACTAAGACTCCTCACCGTTCCCTCAGGATTGAGTCAAATTAAGAAGTGTGTCGCTTCATTGTTCTGCAGGAAAATTGCTTTGAGGGTATTTGGTTGATGCGTGTATATTATTGAAATACCCTTAAAGCAATTTTGCTTCAGGCTAAACTGAAAAAGTATTTAAAAGAGTAAACTTTAGGCAGCGTGTCAAACATTTTGTTTATCTTGAATTTAGCAACAGTCACAAAACAGCGAGTCACTCGGGTGGTTCCACAGTGTAGCAGCTAGCACGCCTGATTCGGAAGCTGAAAACAAGGAGTCCTGGGTTCGATTCCCAGAGGAATCACATACTTAATGCTTGCAAGATCTTCTACTAAAGATCTACCTTTAAATGAAAGTGACATTGAACGTCTTACCTTATCAAGCTTCGCCTCAATCTCCACCACCTCAGTCTCCACCTCATCGATGCTGGCCCTAAAAAAAACACAAAAACAAGAGAAGAAAAACAAGTTAATTTTCTCAGGGAAACAGCTGTTTATGGTTTCACAGAGTTTGACAAAGTCACAGTCGGAGGAGCGGTTGTAGACACAGGCGGTGGCCTGTGTGCGTTCTTTAAGTGGTCGAGACGCCGTCACGGGAGCAGCAAAAATCTGTCAAAACAAAGTGACAGACGGTGTCGACGAATGCGGCGTCGCCCGGTTCGTCCCACAGAGCGACGGCCGATCTGACAGCACCAGCTTCAACATCACCGCACCCAGCTGCATGTGGAGCCCCCGACCCCCGGGGGAAGGGTGTGATTTACACCAAAGGGCTCACAGCTGGATGATGTCACTCCTGAAGAAGAGTTGGCGTTCAACAGCTGACATCAGGAGACAGCGTGTGAGTGAGGAATGACGCCCTGATTAATCGGTTTCTGTCACTGATCCAACATGAATCTGTCGACAACTTTATGACTGGCCAGATGTGTGAATTACCAACATACCCTCACGACACACAACACAACGAAAGGCTTCGACGTTGTTGGACAGTGAACAGTCTGGAAACTTTAAAGTTGGTTTTAAACACATCTCACCCACTGAAGTTAGCAGTTACACACGTGTAAAAAAGCCATTTCTGTTATTCAGTGTGGAATTATATAGTTACTACAGTGGTAGTTCTACTACTTCTAAATGTTGTACTTCTGAAATACGGCCAAACTAAACATGGACTAAAAGATAAAAAGTGGTTGCGTTTGTTAAAGTGAGAAGCACCAGATGCAGAAGTTACAAATGATAACAACAAGAACTCGTTGTCTTCCTTATTTCTATTATTATTGTTACTTCTACTTCTATAATCTTTGGTAATTACCATCAACAGTCCCAACTGTTCTCCTCTCATCCTAATGACTTCCATTTTTTAAAATTAGGAATAAAACTATCAGAAACAAAACCTGAAGAAGAATCAAGTCAGCAAGTATTAGCAGGGTTAGCTTAGCCTAGCCTTGGTGAAGACTGACTCTCAAAATAAAACACCATGTACTGTAGTATGGACTAGTACAGCGTTAACAGGTTGCTAACTCACCATCACTGACACAGCACTAATAAGCTACAGACGAGGACGCTGATAACCATTGATTGTCTTGTCTGTTGATATGATAGATGCTAAAACACAACAAAAACACTGCTAACATGCTAGATGCTAACACTAATTTTCCGAATGATTGACCACATTAGCTGATTTGTTTATTTCTTATGAAAAAGACAATTTGGATTTAAATGGAATTTTAAAAAAAGCCCCACCTAGGGGCTGGGAAAGGAAAGCTTATCTTTATTTACTAGGTAAAGTTATTTTCCTGGTGAATAATAAATAGCATTTCTGTACATAGCAGCTCAGTGAGGAGAGTGTGTGTGCGGCGTATATGGACCACGCCTGGCGGGATATAAAACTTGTATATCATTTCCTCCGTTCTGCCCTTGAGTGGATTAGCCTGTTTGCTGGCCCGGCTGCAAAAGGCTGGAGGGACGAAGGATGGCACATGTTCTCATGGTGCTCTCCACCCCCACGCACCGTCTGCCGATACATGGAACGTACATGGAGGGAGGAAATTCTCCCTGAGTGGAATGGAAACATACATTACCTAAATAATGAGCGCCATATTATATTGCACATGTCACTGTGACCTCAGCTGATCTCCGACTAAAGAGTCCTCAGCCTGCCACACCCTTGGATTATCCTGCTCTCAGTAAAGCTGTTTTCACTGATGATGTCATGCTTGAAATTGCCCCTTTAATGCAATAATGCAGAGCCTTAATGGACTCTCCCTGATCCACATGGCATGCCTTTAAGCCAGACGCAGACTTATTTAAAACAATATTTATTTTACATCTTGGTTTTCATTCATTAATCTTCCGTGGCCATTCAAGTGAGTTGTTTCTGGTCACCTTCTAAGTTCATGCACTTTAAACTAGACTGTATCAATGGGTCAAACAAATCTTATTACGTCTACATTTAATTTTTATCGCAGAGCAAATAATTTGAGTGACTGCCCTAAAAAATCATGTTGATGTTATCTGATGATGTTATCAGGTCGGAAACCACAGAACAATGTGAAAATACTGCGATTGTAAAATAAAGAAGACAATATAAATAACCAAAATATTTGATGGTTAAATGCTGATTTGACAAAAGGTTTTCTTCACGAAACCACATTTTTCCAGATGATTCAGATGTGCTGACTCTCGGATCACGGGACAGCTGCTCCCGATGATGTCGAACCCTAAAAGGCTGCAGCCCTCACTTCCCCGTATCATTGCCAATGTCTGTCATAACGAATGCACACAGAGCCCCGGGCTAATAGCCATGGCAACCACCTCATCAATGAGCTTCAGAGGAGCCAGATGTGCCTGTGAAGTGACCCTCATTCACACCACAGGGAGCAGGGAAGCTAAGTGGATAATAACATGATTCACAACAAGGCTGCTTTGACAGGAGGTGACTATTGGTACCTCATTAAAAACTCATCAAGGAACTGTTAGACGGCAGCACATCGCCTCCTGCTTTACACGTGTAGCTATGTTTACAAATACGCAAACAAGTGGAAGCCCAATTAGAATAAAGAGTAAACATGCTAATCTGATCAGATGCTAATCAGCAAATTTGATCCCAAACAATTCAGAGAATCGTAAACACAGTCATTTTATTGTTGGAACTGACTTGGAGAAACTTTTAAATTCACATCTAGTTGTTGTAAAAGTTGGACCAAAAGTATTCCGAGCAGGTTGAGGTTCTATTTAATGTGAATGTTAGTGCGCAGGTCTAGTCTGGGAACATTTAATCGGCATGGAAACGCACAGTTAAACGCTGGTGTAAAAACATAATAAACACAGAGATTGTGCTGAGCTAGCTGCAGTGCCGGTGGTTTCTGACTGCTGACGTTGCGACCCCAACCCAACGACTGAAGTACTGTTTGTCATACCACAATCTTACACTTCTCTATACATCATTTTCATCTGTTTGACAGTTTAATCGCAATTTAACTAAACAAAGTGTTGCTAGTTAAGCAACGTATTTTCTTATTTTAAAAAAATAATTAAAGCCAGTCAGTCAGTCAGTCAGTCAGTCAGTCAGTCAGTCAGTCAGTCAGTCAGTCAGTCAGTCAGTCAGTCAGTCAGTCAGTCAGGCAGCAGGTCTTGGCTGCTTAGTGTGAACCGGACGTCTGAAGGAGATACAGCTGGCTTTATTGGCCCTCGAGAATTTTGTTTTGGATGTCGTGCTAAAACAAGGGGGCTTGGCGCTCTGACTAGAGAGTTAGCAGGTGGGATGCTCAAATCAGAGCCAGCACTGGGTCGCAGAAGTGATCTCAACAAACATCCACCAGCTGAGGCATGGCGAGTAAGCTACGCGCTGGGAGAAGTCAAATTAGCCACTGAGCGATGCAGTGGTGTCTCTGCAGACGCTAATCTTCGTGCCAGCATACAAATGAGCGCAGCTGTTGAGCAGCCTGGATGCTAGCTTTAAGAGATCTTCAGTAATCAGCAGGCTGCTCTCGCAGTTACACTCTCTAACGTCTCTAATAATAATATCATTTCAGTCACAGAAGTGAACACTTCGAGAAAAAAGGTTTTGTGGATGTGAAGAATTTTAGGAGACAGAAGATGCGCGGGGGAGGGTCTAAGATGAGGTGGCTCAGTCTGAGGGTCGCCCTTGTGACAGAGCAGCTTCCTGTGCGGACAAAGGACAGCATTCTGTCACGGCACTGATTGCTTTAGTGTACTAATTAAGGCTAGATTGCACGGTTGAACGGCTGATTGGTCCTTTCAACTACACTGAGCAGCAGCTCTGGGTAGAAGTATTCTTAGCTGTTCTGACCAGTGCCGCCCCCCTGCCCCTCAGCCCCCTCCTCATTGTATGAACACCAGCAAGTTTGAGAAGACAACCCTTAACTATGCGGCTCCAAATTTACCCAGAGCATTTTCAGAACCCTCGGGGTAGGACTCGTAAATATCTTGACATAGAAAACACCTGACTATTTTTAAAACTAAAAACAAATAAAGTGTAGCAGCAGTTCAACAAGACACCAGCAGCGTGCCAGGTGGCATTCCCGATGGGTTTGGACCATCACTGGGAGGTTAGGATTGGTTTAGGGCTTGTGTCTAAGAGTCTTGGCAGGAGGTGAAGGTGGTCGACAGCAGTGCAGGTAAAATACTGGCTAAAAGGGAATTATCTACAAATAGAACAAAGTGATCAAAGAAAGTGATCAAAGTCTTCACATCATTAACACCTGGACTTCAGTAATGTGAACACTGTCAAAATAATCAAAATTTTAAAAAAGACCCAGTTTTTTTTTTGCCAATAGTCAACTAATTTGTTTATATTCATTTGATATTGTACACAAACTATTACACACAGAGATACTGTACTAGACTGACACTCCCTAAACATGTCACTGAAGAATTGCAATAGTACACCTTTGAACTTTCAAATGAAGAAATGTTTTGGGCATATGTTTAAAGTGTCTGATTTATAGTCTAAGTGTAACCAAACCTTAATCCTAACCTCCAAAAACACCTGTAGGTCTTCCATTTGGCATTACTTTACATCGGCAGACCAAAACGGGAAAAACGTCCAATACCTCGCAGTACGCAGTAACCTAATCCTAATGCACTGGAGGTGCAGCGTGAGTTCAAATGTCTCCAATAATACCCTCTGAACATGTGTTCAAAGCTCTGCCTATTGTTCATAAGCCGGGGCTTTTATTTCCACTTGAGAGCTTAGTTGTGTTCCTCGGCCTCGGAGCGCCTGTTGTCTGCACGGACAGAGTGGAGAGAGTGAGGGAACGAGCTCAGCCGTACTATAAATACTGCTCACATTTCCGCAGCAGACTACGCCGAAGCATCTCCTCCAACAGACATCTGCACTAATGGCCTCTCCGTTGTGACAAGACGACCGCAGCAGCAATAATTACTTATCTCTGCCTTATTTATGACATGCTACGT